TCTCTGGCTAACGTCTGCGCCTGTTCCTGCTGCTCCTTAACACATTGTCTCAGTTCGGCGCCCTCGAGGCCTAACTGTTTACCGTACGTGATTCACTTATCAAAATCCATACACTCCATACTGCAACTTTCACTATAATGCCACTATAAAAACAGCGCAATCATTGCAGGATGCAACCGCTTCAACTGTGCGGCTCTATCACCACGCTGTCCACATGGTTCTCGTTCACCCCTCACTGTCTTACTCTTGTACGGAACGTCCTGTCTCGCGGACGCCAGTTTTGTTACAAGCTGCCACTCTAGCGTCGCCAGCGCGAAGTCGGCGACGGGAATGACAGCAGGTTGGTTCGTTCCGTACGCAAGCAGAGGCAGTGAAGAGATCAGAGACGTGAGAAAACAAAACAAACTTTACTCTAGTGATATTGCAGCACACGGGATCTAATACAACACTTCAAAACAACTAACACAATACATCGACACTTGAAACAACTAAAGAATTATATAACAGAAACAATAAATCAGCTTACGAGAGAGAACTATCACAAACTACACAAACTAACAAGAATAGAACAACGGAGGAGAAAGTTCGAAGATATAAACAGGTGAAGGCATACGTGTGATGACCGGCAGCGCTGTGTCCCCGACGATCGGATGCGAGAAGTCGAAGAGAGTTCTGGCACGACTGCGATGTCGGCGGTGTTGCAACGCTGGTGGCTCCGGGAGGCTAGTGCTTGCAGGTGACTTCGAGCAGGTTGAGCTAACTCGAGGCGAAGTCCCGATGTCTACGTTGCCGACGTTAATATCGCGTCACAACTAGACGAACGGCTAAGTTTAGGTGGCCAGCCGATACAGAGCCACACTAAAAACTTCTAGAAGAGATGCTTGATGATCTGTTTCTACACCATGTTGGTCAGCGACTAGTCTGCCTAGCAGGGCAAAATCCTGCGCTTAAATCCCCCTCGTGTCTCCTCGCTCTCTTCCTTGGGAACACGAGACCTCTACCTGGGTCCAATCATGCGCGTTTAATTGAGGGGAAACTCCGCCCCAAAAATATTTTGACCCCACCCCTTTTTAATAGGGAGAGGTCCCGCAACTAGCGAGAGTGACAACCTGTCGGGTTGTTGTCATACGGCTTGGCCACCAGAGCGTTTCCCACGCTTTTCTCCGTGGGAACGGTCAACCACTTAGCTCTCAGCCGGGCGGAGTGGCTATTAAAAGAGAGAAAAGAAGAGAAAATCCAGCCCCGTTATTGTCTGCTTCAATGAGCGACACCGCCACAGTAGCTCACGAGAGATGGGGGTGAGGAGGGATAAAAATGATAGGAGTAAAGATGTGGGAAAGCCGAAGAAGGAGAAGAGAAGAAGAGACGTGTGGTGGTAAGCCACAGCGAGCGAGGACAAACCGAGGGGATAGAAGAGATAGGAAAGATGGAGCACGGTCACTGGAGTCCGAGGACGGGGCGCACCTGCGAGAGCTCCTTTCGGCGTCGGTGGATGGCGTAGAACAAGTCCAGTAAGTCCGAGCTGCACTGTCGTCGGAGGTGGAAGGTCGTCGGCGGCAGGAGATGACGTAGGGCGAGCCCAGTCGGCCAGAGCCACGATGACGCGGGAGATCGCAAGCGCGCGGAGCGCGCGAGCGCACGACCGATCGGCCCGAAATCCAGCAAGCGAGTCCAGCCGGGCGTCTTGTAGTCTAATCCTTGTACGGGGTATACCACGGCCTTCTACGACCTTGCAGACGTCGCCACGGTTACAAAAGGATTAACTGTCGGCGGCGACGTTCTAAGGAGAGCACCCCCATTTCGCACTTATCGGTTCCCTTTCATGTGCCGCCGTTTCTCACGGTCAGTCGGGGAGTACGGCGCCCGTTAATTGCCGTGACGTGGTGTCGCCGAAAATAGCCGTCCGTGACACCGTGCCGCCTCTATGTTCAAATTACAACGTTTTGAGGAATTACATATCGAGTACCAGTGTGTATTACAAACTTTTTGTTACACTCGTGGCGCTTAAAACACGATGCGCTGTGTCCAGGTTATGGATAGGTGCATGTATGGGTTCTAAATTTCGTCTACCAAAATGGCTAAATAGTTATCACAGGCGTTAGACACCGCGACGAAGTCATGCAACTAGGCGTTAACGTGGGTGCTTGCACGTCAAACAGTGCTGATCATGCCAAACACCAATACACTGTACAAACTCGATTAATGGCTACTCAACAAAAAGTAATATTGTCGAAAAACTGCACTTTTATTATGTATCAATTCCTGAGATGGAGACATGACTTATGTATTCTTCCCTCCATCACTGCAAACCTGTCCCACACAAAACCACAGACGCACAGTTAAACACACGCATTTTCAAAGCAGGTAATGATGCTTCATCGCTTAACTATTGTCCCGTCTAATTCACCTGCTTGAATTATAAATAATTGCAATGCATCATGCGTACCCCAGTAATGAAGTATAAGTAACGCCGAAACTATATTTACAGGTATCAGCATATATATGGTTCTAGTAAACTGTTAGAGAGATGTGTATATATTTATTCATATCTTAAAGGTGCATGTATGGTGCACGTGGCAGCATGCATGTGTAATCCAGCTAAAGAGGAGCCGCCACCTCTGAGCGTAGTGCAAAGCATGCTGTTAAGAAATGTGACAACTCGTGTTTCTCTTGGGAGTTCATGAGACTTAAGTCGGGAAACGGGCTCGCTGTCTGGCGTTGAAGGACTCCTGGAGGGCAACAGGGGTTGACCAACTAAGCTATTCATGTTGATGGCGAATACGTTTGTGTGCACACGACAAAGTCAAAACAGTTTTGTAATATTTTCAGTTTCAGTTTCAGTTTATTTTGAACATAGTTACATGACATGAAATATGTCCACGAGGCAAGGCAAAGGGAGACTTCTATGTCTCCTGACGAGTCCTTCACTCTGGTTTATCGTTCGAAAACTACGATATGATTATGAGAGCGCCGTAGTGGAGGGCTCCGAAACCTCGACCATCTGGGGTTCTTTAACGTGCACCTGAAATCTAAGTACACGAGCCTCAAGCAATTTCCTTCCATCGAAAATGTGACCGCCGTGGCCGGGATTTGATCCCGCGACCTGCGGGTCAGCAGTCAAGTGCGTCAGCCACTAGACCACCATGGCGGGTGAAGCCAACCCAAGTCCAGCAAGCGCCTCCTCTATTTTTCCAGAGCTGCAGGCAAAAGAGCGGATTCTATGGTAGGTGGCCCTCAGTGCTAGTGCAGCGTTTCACCGCTGGGCACCGCAACTGGAGAAGACATGCTGCTGTATTGTCTTTCGCGCAAACGCATGCCGCGGCTGCATTCGAAATTGCTATACGGCTTGGTTTTCTGCTGTATTGGCATTGTTCAAAGCATAACGAAAACTTGTAAACAAAAATCGTAAAGCACTTGTTGTTCTGGACACCCAGCTCATTTCAAAGGCATGTGTCCTTCACTGCTACTTGATCGAGGCGCTCGCTCGTCATCTACTAGGCCAATACCAGATAGCTCATGCCAGTAATCCGTGGTAGATTGTTTTGTCACCGTGAAGTTTGCTTCACTAAACGTTGCTTTTTTGGCTCACTGAAAGTAGATTGTTGAGAGAAGCCTTTGCGAGGCGCTAATACTAAATGTTTAAGCTCCTAAAGTTTCTGATGCTTCCTACTGTAGTGGTGTAGCACATTAAACGCAAGCCTGGAGTTCATGTGCTACATAGCACAAATTGACAGTAGACTGCTTCCTGTGACATAAATTATATTCCGGTATTTTCGCAGTTTTTAAGTATTATATGTGTTGCCTCTGAGAGAAAGCAAGTGCCAGAAATTGAGGAACTGTGCCAGGTGATTTCACCATTTGAGAGCGTAAGCATTGACATCGTCTTGAAACAAACAAAAGCAGCTGCATATGCTGCACGATTCTTGCAACCATGGCCTATGTTTGGAACAGGCGCTGTTAAAGTTCAAAGTCTAATGCCGGCTGCCAACTCTAGCCAAGGTGACAGGCGTGAAAAATGTGGCCTGATGTCTGTTGCTTGGGTTTGTCTGCGCATTCGTACATGTATTGTTGTAGCCTTCATTTCCGACTCCTCAGCTTTGTTGTTATCTTCCCTCTTGCCTCTTAATTCGGTACTGAGCACAGTCGAGGCCGAATGACTGTCGACCTGGGCGCTTTTATGGCATAGAGCCCCCTCACGCATGCGTTCTGGCAAAATCACGCGTTCATTACGACACACTGCAATATAATTGTCGATAGTTTCACCGATAACTTTCAGGTGCCCATGATCTTCCATTCAACTTCGGGGCGTAATGGTAGCATTGTAAACGGCAGTGATCGGGAGGCGTTGTTGCTATTGAAAGACTCATTTTTTTTTACTGTTCGGACGCAGCGCCGTCCCGCGTAGTGATACCAATCGCCCTGCTTCGGTACGTGAAGTGTAGGCTTCAGCCGCCATTTCTTATAATCTATAAAATATCTGGGTTGTAAATTATGGCTACATATATATCTGAGTGTAGTACGAAGATGTATTAGGAGGCCAATTATCTAGCCTGATTACGGCCCGCTCCCTCCCGCGGACACAGCGGCAGCTGCAATTTCACGGAACGACAGCCGTACAGTGTACTAAGGCGAAAACCTTAAGTGCTCATCAAAGGTGAAAAGTGATCGCCGGTGGCATCCAGCGTTTTCTTGAGTCAGTGGCGTCAGCACGAGTGATGTAAGAAATCATTATTACGTGGAGATGTCATCGTATGAATTCACAGATCATAAAGTTTTGTGATGCATCGAAAGGTCATCTAGCTTGACGGCATCATATTACACCTTCGCATGGTTGAAATGAGCCGATGACGATGGCAGTGCAAAACCAGCTGGGGGGCAGAAAGCTACCTCTGTGTCAAATCCTTGGGCAGTAAGAAAACCATGTTGGAGCAGCAATATCCCGGAGTGAAGAAAAAAACATTCAATGCATTGAATGGGAAGAAAACGAAGGTGGCTCTTACCTTTCAGTCATCTCTGGTGAACCCCTGTGAATTCCTTTTTTCTTTATCACTGATGAGAAATAAAAAGAATTTTTAATTTCTTTCCATCACATATGCGGAGTGGTACACAGAAGTAATATGTACTGAGGTGTGCGAATGATGCGATCGCAATAGCTTGAAAAAGAAACTAAAACGCGAATGCTGTAAAACTTCAATGTTTCAAACTTCGAATGCAAATTTTGTACAGGTAGCTTGGCCTGACAGCCGGTTGGCGGAATAGGCACAGTGAGCATGGAAAACTCGGACATGTTTTATCGACCTCGTTTTCTGTTTTGCAATTATTCCTAAGCGTTGTAGCCTGGATAAAAAACAGACGAATTCATATATTTGAGAGACACCATATAACATCTTTTTGTTGTCGTCGCAGTCACACACCGGGCAAAAGAGCGTGCCGTTCTGTTCATGTTACTTTTCATCTCCCCTGCACCCGTGAATGCCGCCAAGAAGCACGAATGCAAATTAACTCGCGTGAAAACACAAATCGGCAAGATTCCTAATACGTGCAGCCGTTCAGCGCCAACATTCAAAGTCTACTAGCGCAGCGCCACCACGCGGCAGCGGCGAGTGGAGGCGGAGCACCCGCTCGATGGCCTGAAAAGAGCGCTTGCCCGAGCACTGAAAAAACAGAGAAGGTGCTGGTCCAACTCACCTAGCAGACGACACAATGAGAAGTACACCAGATTAGTTTTGCGGGCTGACTCGAAATTTTCGATTCTCCTGCCTAAATCATTGTGCAGACATCTGGTTTGCCACGGTAACGCAGTTGGCTAATGAGACTGAATAAGTGACGGCTGTAGCAAGCCTTTCGCCCCTTACTTGTGTAAGGTTTCTTTGTATTACAATTACCGCAGGTGCTACAACGAACTTTAGATTTACATCCTACCGCACTGTGGCCGAATCTCCAGCAGTTCTTGCACTGAATCGGACGAGAAGCGAGGGGTTCTACTCGGAAAATCAGTGGCCATAATTTTATTTCTGACGGGCATTTTGTGCCCACAAATGTCGCGATGACTGATTCGGTTGGTACCCTCTCTTTGTCGACTAGGCGATTACACCGGTAAATTGAAATTACGCCTGCTCCAGAGAGCCTGTCTAGGGTCTCAGCTGGACTCATCTTGGAGTCGAATCCCCGTACAAGGCCTTTGCTACATGCAAGGTGAGGCGGAATAAAAGCACTCACAAGGGTAGCAGCAAAAGAGGTGCATTTGAGAAGAGCTTGCACGCAGGTCTGATGCGGCGACCTACACACGATACCTCCTCGCCCAAATGGGCGCACATCTGTGATGGTCTGGAAATGGTTTGAAGTTGTCTTAAGTTTTTTTTGAACCGCCTGGGGGTTTGTAAGTCTGACGAAGCCTCCATTTGTAGGTACCAGTGCCACGGGAATGCTGTCGATACCATTCCGGAAAAAGGAGTCTAGTGGTAATTCATTAGACGGTAGGGACGCTGACCAGGCGGATCGCGCCTGGCCAGGATAAGTAGTCGACATGAGCACTAGAGATATGGTTACACTCAATAACAGTTAAGCTAAAGAACCGGACTCTAAGACAGAAAGTTAAAACCACTTAATCCTCAAGCCAAGAACACCCCAGCAGGTTGAGCACGGGCAAGCTTTAAGGCGAGCGGGGTAGGGAACAAGCGTCTTGGTGCGTTCTTCCGTGTTCTCGTTCTAGGAGCACCCGGTGTCACCGGGTGTCAAAACATATCTACAGTGTGACGAGCAGCTGTCTTAAAGGCCCATCCAGTATAAAGTGTTCATACATATTTATTCATTATCTGCTGCAAAAGCATCAACAAAATGATCAGCTGTGTAGGTTAGTACATTGCCTTACGAAGAAATAGTGGACCCTTTACTGATTCGCACGAGGAAAAATTGCGATGTAGTGGGCAGTTAACATCTGTACTTGCAGTGTTTGAAAGGACCAATGTTACGCGCGCAGTTATTTTGAGAACTGAAGCCAGGCTAACGACTGAAAAGGCGAGGGGCGTTGGGCCCCGTTACGCTATTAGGCCGGTTTTAGAAGGCCCCTGAAACGCTTTTTCAAGTAACCATTGAATGAATTCACCGGAAGAGCTTATTGCCTCACGAATTCAACGCCACAAAATTTTTAAGAATCCATCCTGTGCGAGTGGAGCTAAAAAGGTTTGTCACATGCTTCAATTGCATTCTCTCTTCTCTCGTCCCGACAAAAGCACTGGAAGCTAAACAGGGAAAGATGGCAGGGACACAGAGAACCTTGAGCTCTATTTTCGCGACCTTGAGCTCTATTTTTCTTTCTTTTTCTTCGAATACACTGCTTTTCCAGTGTGATTGCGTGCGCACGCATGAACAAACAGTGGTCTCCTTTGGCGATCTCTGTAACGAGCGAGTGTACCATGCTCAAATCAGCCAATGGCTGATAGATGGGATGGTGATGTGTGAAGAAAAAAGAAATCAATTTTTAGCTGACTTTGTTATTTTATTGTGGATTTCAGGGCACCTGCTGTGCTATAATATTTGGCTTGCGTGTTGTCAGGAGCCTCTGCTACCGATCGGCAGCGTTTTGGGACAATGCTCAAAAAGTGTTGCAGGGCTCCTTTGAGGCAAAGCTCAAGCATCGTCCAAATTGTTCACTGTTAATACATGCTGGCGAGTGTAAGAGAGAAATAGAGAACTCTTTATTGAAAAGCAGAGAATTTAGCCGGCATATATAAATCGTTGACTTGCCACTCTGTGTGGAGGAGAGGCTTAGGGATTGAAAGTACAAAGAAGGAGAGAAAAAAAAAGACAAGATATAGAGATGTAGAAAAATAAAAAAGGCCACCTTTTTGACCGTTGAATGATGACGTGCATTGATAGTTTTTCCGTGGTGTCAAGCTACAGCTAGCGTTTGACTAGCTGACCGATGCTGTCTAAATACGGGAACAAAAGTTTCATAGTACACCTCTGTAGCGTGGGGCAGGCTAAGGGTCCCAATACACAGTCAAGGGAGAAAGTTCTCTCAGTTATCGAATGCAACCAATGTTCATAGAGCGCACGCTCAACAGCATACGCTCTATACTCAAAAAAGCTATGTTCCACAGTTTCGATGGAGCCACAGTTGTCGCAATACGGACTCGCTGACTGACCGAATCGGTATCGTTAGCTGTTTACATAGGTACTGCTTAAACGAATACGATGATATAGCGTTTTCAGATGCCGATGAATTTTGAATGAATCTTGTTCTGAGGTAGGCTTAGATTGAGTAAAGAAAGACATAATGGAGTATCGGAGGGTTCCAGCGCCTCTCCCTTTCTTCGAACGCAAGTCTCAGCTATCTGACACGCATCTAACTTTGTGAAATACGTTCGTCAGTAATTTTGCTGTCGAAGAAGTTTGCGTGTTGCTTCATCTGCTTTTTCGTTGGCGAGAATGCCACATTGAGCTGGTACCAACTGAAATATGATAAGTTTCCCAGCGGTAATATCCAGGAGATGTAGGTAATCTATGCCGAATGAAACTGGGTCAGAATTCGTTTACCTTAAGAAGGTGAACTATATCTGTAGTGCTTCATTGGTGAATGTAGAAGATTTGATGACACCGTGCTCGTCATGGGTGCGTTTCTGGCTGTAGGGCTTCTCTGGTGCAATTGGTTTTCAATGTCAGCACACACATACTAGATGTCATAAAAGCCGCATTTAATGATACATTCTTAAGTGCTGGCATTGAATCATGTACCAAAATGAAATAAAAACAGATGTCTCTGTCTCGCGATACAATGCTGCATGGAAATACGTATAAAATGTGCTCAAAGTGTTGTTTTTTTGTTGTTCTCAAAGCTTACTTCGACTGCACAAGCTCTTGTTGCCAGACCTTATGTTATAACCTATTTCAACTAAATTGAAACTGAATTCTCCCTATTTTGAAGGATTTATAGGTATTCGCGGCTGAATTCGAATGCACGTAACATGTGGGGGTGCATTTGGACACTACACAAGTTTTCAAGTGTCGTTTTTGCCGAAGAAAGGACACAGTGAGACAAATATATGAGCGATATTTGTTCAGAAGAGGCCGCAGATTTGAACTTTTATATAATATTGGCGGAATACATGAAAGAGTGATTTTTCTTTGATGAAGTTCCAATGCAGTTTATCTAAAAATACCTAAAGTGTACAATACTTTACCATCTACTGTATCCAGATAATATAAAATTGGCTGCTTGATTTAGCATGCCTTCTATTGTCTTTGAAATTGAAACGAAATGGCTGCTTGGGAGCTGCTCTAATTCACGAAAATATAGCCAAAGCAATAAGAAAAACACTAGAACAGCATGTAGGCAATGCGAACATATTTTCGTTTACTTGTTCTGCTGCCGTAGAAGTTCCACGCCCACCTTGCTATTCTTGCGCACTTCAATATACCATAAAGTACAATATCGCACCACAGTTCACCCTCGTGAAAGCATGCGAGCCGTAGTGGCCTAATCATTAGCTTTTTGTCTGTGAGAGGCACGTTAGATTCATCGATTAGACACGCTGTGCATTACTTTAGAGCTATAGCTTCATTCTTCCCAGTACAAACCCTGCCTCGTTGAGGGAATCTGACCATTAAGCCCTGCAAAGGTCAACTCTAGCAAAAAACTTCCACTGAAACTTTAGAGAGGAACTTTTCTGAAGATAAACAGCAGCTTTATGTGTGCCTTTCGTGCGGCCAGCACTAGATGTACTAGTTCACTGCTCGTTCGCACCGAGAGCGCCAACCACACCGAACGGAGTCTTAGTGTTGTACTACAAAGCGTTTACCCCCTTTGGAGCGATGTGTAGCCGAAGTTTGTAAACGACTAGTATCTTCTTCCCAAAGTAAGCGAAAACAAGCTATTGTTAGTCAGGATTGCTTTTGACGCTTTCAATGACGATAACAAAGTATGCATGAACATTCAGAACTTCAACTTGATGCATGGTTGATAAAACTTTTATTGTGAAAACCACAGTTTCGGTCTGCGTTGCAGAGTTAGGTAGACGGTAAAGCAAAGTTGTCCACCTGAGAGATCCTTTGTTTAGATTAGCAGCCGAAGCCTGCCTTATAAGTGTGTTACGACGCAGTGAATAAAGTTGAACAGCATTCGCTGGAGGGCAGTTTAAATATATTCGTAATAGACGTGATGGAGGGTTCCCAAGAAAATGCGCAATCCTGTAGGTCACGATTTTGCACAGTTCTTTCTCAGATATCAAAAGCAGGTTTATTCACTTTATATTCACTAGTACACTGCTCATTTTCCTCTAATAGTCATCAGTACACTGCTCAATTTCTAATATTATTCACAAGAAAGGGACAAAACAGAAATTTACTCAGCACTACTAATAAAGAAGGGAACTACTGTCTGCAAAGCAATGCAGATTCTTACACCAGATGCAATAACCATTGAGCGGTCATGCAGAATCAGCGTTAGCAAATGTGTACCATAGTTTTCAACATGAGGATATCTCGTATATTTGGGGCCTTTAAATGAATTTAAAAGACAAAAAAATGAGGCCCAACGGTTCGCTGTTATTGACACTATAAACTGGTGCTAGTCCCATTGCTTGCAACGTTGATTTCTGTGATGAACTTTCATTGCCAAATTTGCTCTTGGATTAAAGTTTGTTTATTATCGTCCAAGAACTTACTTCATAACGAAAAACTTGGATAATCTTTGCACGTGCTGTATACCCTTTTTAAAAGAAGAGTGCATGGGGGCGTGTGTTTTTTTTTGGGGGGGGGGGGGACGCAACAGCGTAACATCACGAAGCCGTTCTTTCACGCATGGTAAATCCTGCAAAGACAGACAAAATCTTGCGCGAAATTGGAGGATGTTTGAGCTTCCCCTTGAAGAGTAAATCGCCATATTGTAATCGGGTCTCGTGCGCAGCGCCTTCTGAGCTGCTAGCGGTTCTCGGTGCATGCTCAAACCAAGCCATAAAAAAACGAACAACTGTGTGCGAAACCCTGGTCGTTTGTAAGTATCATTGATGCTATTGCAAGCATTTATTACTCTACTCAATTCGACAATTATTTCATTTGTGAATAAGGGAAGGAACCGGTTGCATTGGTAGGGTAATACGCAAATCTACGCAACTCTTCCCATTGTTTACGATTCTTGTGCTGATGATGATAGAATATGTATGAGTGCTTTGTAATGGCTGGCTTCATACCCATTTTTTGACGCCTGGCGCTAATCTACGCTTCTACCACGTAATTTAAGATGTGTTGAAAAGACTTCTTCTGCTACATCACATTCATAGAGTGTGTTTTGTTTTTCCATAGGAGTTTCAACAAATGAAGTGTCTATGTGATACAACAGCTTATTGTCACTCAGACGGCATGTGTTCGTTCCTAACTTGGCTGCGGTCATCTTGATAACTTATTATCTTTGCGCCTTTCTTTATTTTTCGGTGACGCGCAATATTGTGACATATAAATGTGAAGCATTTCTTAGCGAACTTCGGTACCTTTGAGCTTATCTATCTATCTATCTATCTATCTATCTATCTATCTATCTATCTATCTATCTATCTATCTATCTATCTATCTATCTATCTACCTATCTATCTATCCATCTATCAATCAATCAATCTATCTATCTATCTATCTATCTATCTATCTATCTATCTATCCATCTGTCTGTATATCGGCCACCTACGACTTTCAGCCCTACCGGCTGCTTCGATGATGGGATCGATACAAAAATTGCTATGGCATAACATGACTGTTTTTATGTTATGACTGACTAGTCATAACATAAAAACTATGACATGTATGTCATAAATGTCATGATTCACATGTCATAGTCCCGCTCCTTTTGCAGTGTTTTGTTCACAAGACATTTTGCAAAACTGGTATGGTATGACATGAGAGCTTGGCTGACATAGGTGACAGACCCTAACGTGAAAATTCTGATATGCATGACATGTAAGTCGTGACTACACACCACGCTTATGGTACTCTTGCGGTCGGTCATATTGATAGCTTGACATATACCAAATTTGGCATAACGTGACGCGAATAGACGACGAAGGTAAATGACACGTCCAAACATGAAAATCATGACATGCGTTTCATGTAAAACTTGACGACATGCTACGCTCATAGTGCACTCACGGCTGTTTCACTAGCTTCATATATACCAAATTTGGTGTTATGTGACATGAATGAATGACGAAGGTACATGACTGGTGAAAACACGATAATCATGACTTGCGTGCCATTGAGAACATTACTACATGCCACGCTTATGCGCCGCAGGCAGTCGTTTTGCTAGCTTCACATATACTAAGTTTAGTATTACAGGAAGCGAACGGACGATGAAAGTAGAGACACACCCAAACATGATAATCATGACATGCACGTTATGTAAAACATGACTACATGCTACGCTCATAGTGCACTAGCAGTCGTTTCGCTAGCTTTTTATAAGCAAAATTGGTGTTACGTGATTTGAATTGATGACAAAGGCTTATGACTGGTAGAAGCTTGGTAATGATGACATGCGTGTTATGTAACAATATGACAACATAGCACGCTCATGATGTGCTCGCTGCTGTTTTGCTAGCTTCACATATACGAAATTTATTATTAGGTGACGTGAATAGACGACGATGGCGAATGACATGTTAAAAAATTATAATTATGATATGCGTGTCATGTAAAACATAGCTCATAGTACAATCGTGGTCATTTCGCTCACTTAACATGTACCAAATTTAGTGTTCCGTGACGCTATTTGATGACGAAGGTATATTACTGGTGCAAACATGATAATCATGTCATGCGCGTCTTGTAAGAGTCTGACTGCATACCACGCTCATAGGGCACTAGCTGCCGTTTCGCTGGCATCACATATACCAAATTTGTTATTACGTGACTTAAATGGACGACAAAGGCAGATAACAGGTCCAAACATGATAGTAAAGACCTGCGTGTAGTCTAAAACATGACCACATGGTGCGCTAATAGCGCGCTAGTGGCCGTTTCGCTAGCTTCATATATGGCAAATTTGGTATTACGTGACGTGAATAGACGACGAAGACAAATGTCGTGTTCAAACATGATAGTCATTGATAATCATGACATGGTACTCATGTACGACATATTTTACATATTTATCACTTCTGGCGCTGCTAATGCAAACGTTAGTGGTGCCGTCGTTATGCGACTATAAACAAAACACTTGCATCTTACCTAAATACCTTCCCGCCATGGTGGTCTAGTGGCTAAAGAACTGGGCTGCTGACCCGCAGGTCGCGGAATCAAATACCAACTGCGGCAGCTGCATTCTCGATGGAGGCGAAAATGCTGTAGGCCTGTATGCTCAGAATTGAGCACACGTTAGAGAGCCTCAAGTGGTCGAAATTTCAGGAGCCCTCCACAACGGCATCTCTCACAAACATATGGCGGTTTTGGGACCTTAAGCTTATATATAAATCAGTCTTATAACCTAAATACCTGAGTTCGCACAACATTTCTACTTCTGTTTACTGTGCGCGGCCTTCCCACACTTCGTGACGTTGCGCTGATATTAAAGTGTCATATCAACCTTCCTCATTAGTGCGTCGCATATCATCGATTCACACCATGCGTGGGTTCTGAAGTTTTTTTTTTTTGTTCACAAAGCAACGACGCCAACGCCATAACTTCTGCGAAACGAGCTCCTTAGCGCTACCGCTTTTAACATAGCCTGCAAGTAGCCTGCTCCTTTCGTAGAAAATGGGTTGAGCGTAAATGGAACTGTGGAAGCTGAGTGATATGTTTGGGAAAATATGAACATAACTGTTAGCTATGAAATCCTAGGTTTCCTTGAAGACAGGGATTGTGTTATTTTTGCATTAGGAACTCTATGTAATTATAAATCACATTACAAGCGTGTTAGATTAAAACACCAGTAAGAGACATATGTTTAACATCTCATTCAGCATATCTCTTCACCTATTTGATGATTTATAGGTGAAATATTCATTCCTAGAGAGCTTGCTAACTGTCCAATATAACACCAGAATGCCGTCATTAATAACACAGTATCCTTCATCGAGAGATAGTCGACGTGAAGTAGTCTGGTTTAGTAGGCAATCGATTTCTATTATTCTCACTGCCAATCATATCTTGCAACAGAATCATGCCTGAAGAGTCGACTACAGCAGAAACGCCTAGTAGCCTTTGGAATCGGTTGGTTAAGCACTTTGCTACAAAATGTATACGGTATTTTTTCTGTCTTGGTTTTATTTGACAGCAGGGTAAGGCTGTGAGCGCTCTTTTTTGATATGTGCACAAAGCGTTCTACAATGAGGGCGCTCGGCAGTGATACCATTCAGAAGTTTTCCTATTAGGACACTATAGCTACAGTGTCCATGAAAAGCTTCAAGTTTTTCACGCCGCTCCAGCAGGTGTTTGCGCGGGACATATTTCAGTGAGGCAAAATTTACGAGATTTCTTTTGTGGGCGCCTCCCTTAATGAGAGTCGTCATTGAGATTCAAACAGGGCTGTACATCAAGTCTAAAAATGAAGTTTCAGCCAAGGCCAGGATTAAGTCGTATATTACTTGGTGCCAAAAAGTGGGGCACCATAAATAACAGATTCTTATTTAACCGACAATGCTACAGTGATTGTCGTTGGCCTGGAAGGCAAACCACTGCGTGTATTTATGAACCCTGCTGTTTACAGTATATGTTGCTTACTTATTAGGCGACTTGCTTGTTACACCTTCAGCAGAAAAGTAGCGTCAGGAGTGCCTTTGACGGCTATCGAGCCTTCTAAAATATGGATAGTGTATAGTCCATGTAAGATATAGAGCTCTCTGGAAAGACCTATATGTAGATGCAATTGTGAAAGTCTGGTGTGCCTTACACTTGCTGTTCACAATCACTTCCAGTGTGAAACATGTATCGGGCAAACTTAGTGGCGTTATCCAGCATAATGTTTTTCTTGTGCTGCATGACAAGCTCATCCAACGGGAAGAAAAGTTCGTAAGTGCGAAACACTTCTTTTCGCAAAAGACTTTCCATTATAAGAAGGACTCCAAGAATTTTCTCCATATTACTAATAATCATACCCACTCTGCCTCACCTATACAAGCTTGGTCAATTTGGTTTTTTCACCTCGCTGACTGCGGTTGGTATAAAAGGCTCGTTTGAAGATCTTCGTGAAGTGACGGCGATCACTTCAAGGAGATCTTTGACGGTGAAGTGCAATCGTACCATCCATCCCTGGTGTGGAGTTCGCTTGACAATGGCCATGGGATGAGGGAGTAGGGGCCAATTCAGCTGCAAAACATGAACAGTATATTGGACAAATCATTTTCTGTAGCCCGTATCAAGCTAGTGCAGTAAATATTAAACATGTGAAGTCGCAGTATTCCGTTGTATTTTTGGTATGACTCTGTACAAGTTATAGATGTGCTGCAGAAATAGAAGCATATTGCAAGATGGTTTGTACGAAAATTGTTTTGACTTTCAAGATTGAATTTGTCACAACTTTTCGCCTACAGCCATTGGGCGCCACACTACTGTGAAGGTCCGCAGCATGATCACATCAAAAATGGGCAGCCATATTTGTTGAAAAGGCAGTGCGATAGTAGTCCTTACATCATGTATGACTAATGTTTGAAAACATATCATAGCCATAATGATATGCAAAAAATGTTTATCTGCTTTCATTACGTACCAAAATATTTCAAGAATTGAAAATAAATGAAATACGTTTCAACATTGGCGTTTGAAAGATTATTATGTCACGAGTCTCGTAATGCTCTTACTCTAGCTTATTGTATAAGATTGTGATTATTTAAAAGAGATCCAATCATAGAAAAAAACTTTATAACTAACCTTTTGAAATATAGTTGGTTCCTTCCTTTGCAACACAAGTTTTTGCAAGGACTGACACCTTCCGGTACTGCTCCTTTCAACAAGTAATGGTTGACTGGAATAAGCTGAAGCATTTCTCAGCGATTGTGACCTGTATATTATTGTGTAAGTAGTGCAGTTAATTCACAAGTTCAGTAGGTTCGTATTATGACCAAGCTCTGAAATATTTTTTCTTGCTTAATCCTAATACTTTACTTAATGACACCCCTGCTTGAGCTTCTTGTGTACAGTGCAATTTTAAACAAATAAATAAATATTTAGATAAATAAATAAATAAATCACTGTGTTTTTAAAAGGCAAATGAAATTGTGGTTCGAGTAGGTGCCAATGACTTTTTGTCGTATTGTGTTACTTAACATGCCAGACAAGCTGTCTCTGCGATCTAGTCCCCTGAGAAGCCGTTTCAAGGTATAATATTGTTTTATTTTATAATATTAACCATATTATTGTAAACTTCAACCGCATTCATCGCGGGGCGCAACAAAAAGCACGCAGTTAGTCATGTTAGGCGTCGTTATGTATTTTTGTTTCGCACACTGTTCTATTTTGTTCAACTTGTTTGTCCACGCTTTAGGAGCATGGAGGCTTCGAAAGAAGCTGGTTGTCCATAGAACTAAACCCATATACTTTGTAGTTTCAGAGTTTTAGCTTATTGGAAATGATCACAACTTGAGTCATCAAGTGTTTCTCGATCCGCACTGAGAGGCTATATTGAAAAAAAAAACATAATTTTTTTGCAAGCCAGCACAACAAACGTAATGGCAAGAAATTGGAATGTCATACGAAGAACACCAAGCAGTTCAATACTTGCAGCATGCCGCAGAACCACAAAGATCGAAGTAGCCCTTCTACAGTGCGATGTCAGCGGAGGTTAAAGAACACCTGAAGACTAAAATTTCCGGAGCCCTCCCCTACGACGGCTCTCAAAACTGCGTCGTAGTTTTGAAATTTAAAACCTAATTACTACCAATAGGCGCAAAAAAAACGATTGAAAAAAAACGTGCCGTTATACAGAACAGAAGCGTGATCTTATAACTGTCACAATTGTTACGTATTTGTGTTTGAGCAACGTGGCCCAAGTACTGACAATGGAGAACCCAACGCTCCTACATATTTTGTTTTCTTTAAAACGGTGGTGTGTCGAGTCACCCTTCTGCGTTTCGTGCCATTCGGTGGTGTCTGACACATTTGTATGTTTCAATGCATGTTGTTACCGATGTCGCTATCACGGCCGTCAACGTTGGCGTCCATAGCGCCGTTGCAAAGAAGAGAGCAATGGAGAGAGCGTGCGCAACATTATATACGAGCGCACAGCTGTGGCGGAGAGATAAACGGTAGAGGACAGACGAAGCGGAAGCGGTGCTCTGCTGCCTCCTTCACCCCACCTTATCCCAGCTTCTCGCGTGAGGATGACGAGAGGGTCCTCCCACCTCCTCATGCTCACGCGGGAATAGGGGGAGAGTTCACACATGCGCAGTGGGGCGCTCATGCTGTTCTCTTTGCTTTCCTTGCCTCGCCTTTCGTTTCACGTTTCTTCTAGCACCTTCGTGCTCGCGCTGCAGCCCTTATCACCATGAGCAGACGGTCGTCGATGGGCAGAAACACGCCCGAGCAAAAGCTGCTTTGTAACTAAAATGTAGTTACTGGAGCACCATCCAAGTGCTACACAGCAACATTGTTTGCAAGCAGTCAAGTTTGTCACTCTGTCCGGTTATTTGAAAAAACAACAACAATGACCTCAGAGCAGCACGTAACAGAGACTGCGTAGGTCAGAACCCTAGAATTTCATTCTATGTGAGGGTACGGTTGTTTAGGTGGCCTAGTCTGGTTGGGAGAATAGCACTTTCAGAGTTGAAGCGGCTGCAGTCTTCGAGAAAGTGCGCGACTATTTCACTGCATCCGCATACTTTAAATGGTGGGCTGCTAACCCATAATATACCAGAAAATAACAAATGATTAGATTTGTGAGAAGGCAAGTCCAAGCCACGTAAAGTCCAGCAAGGTATTTTCATGTCGTGATAGGTTGGACGGAATACGTACGTTGATATCAGGGTCCAAAGTATGCAGCCGTGCACTTGTGAATTTCGGTTAAAGCCACAAGTACAACGTTAGACGATAGGCTGGCGCACGCAGTTCGTTTGGCACGTCACATTTCAAATTTCCGGCACAGCTTGCACCATTTTGGGCGCATCGAGGAAATGTATCCACTTGGTCATCACCCTGAATGCTACAGTGACTAAGCAGCCACTGTAATATTACTTTAGACCCTGTTTTCCACTACTACATGGTGAGCTTGCCTGATATTCGCTATAAGCTTCTCATGGAAGCCGTCACGTAAAGCGGAGGGTAGTACTAAGCGTGCTGCTTTGCTATCGCTAAAGATTTACAATAAGTTAGGCATGAGCTTCATAACAATCTCAAGAGCAGCTCGAGAGCTGCTAGTTTATAAGATATAGCTCAGGTTCCTTGAAACATTTTCAGCTGTATTGTGATATGTCTAGCTGAAGTTATTACGATCGGGGTTGAATTTGCAATCATAAGTGAACCAACAATGTAAATGTGTGTGTGAGCACTGTACACCTCTTGTAAATACTCTATGCGCCCTCATGACATTCTTGTCTTCGCTATCCTAAATATGTTCAGGCACAGTTCAGCTTCATGTTGGCACCAATAAATCGAAGAAGATCCACTCGTACATCTGAAATCTCTTTCATGTCAAGAAACGTGCTGGTGACCGTCTTGACAATATCGCTGTAATGGCGAACTGATATGCCTCCTAGCGTCTTTACAAATATGTCAGTGGCTTCATCAACCAAACTTAAAAACGACTTTCCCCTGAGGTCACGCGCTAAAGATTTTAAGAAGTATAGCGCTATCACTTTTGTTATTAGGGCACCATATACAATTCGTCCGGTGCAGCACACTGTCTTGCCGGAGTTATCTATGAGAATACCGGAAAGCTCGTCCACGGAGTTTATTGCCATGTGACAAGCTGTGAAAAATGAAATTTTCAAAGCACACTGCTTCTGCTCTATGTCGGCTGTTAAACAATGAGAGATCGTATCCTTCAGACGCAGATGCATGCTTTCCTAGCAAAGACCATTGCGATGTTGACGTGTTTCCGATTGATTTATCAAGTGTGTATAGAGGGCCTTTACTTTACAAAAGCAGTATTTTCACGTCAAATGCTGTGAATCATTCTCGGAAAGCGCAATCCAATATGAAACTAAACAGTGCAGACGTAAAAAAAAGCAGGTACGTGGCCCACAGCATAAATCGAATCATGCTGAGTGTCGCAATATCCAAAGTTCATTTCAGTTTACTCTAATGCAGCAAACAAACAGTTCTCACTTTTTAATTTTGGCTTGGCCATCCAGTGCTTGCGGCATACTCGCTGTGAAGAGGCGTGCTTATCCAGAGCTTACCACGCATGCTCGAAAACGCACGCAAATAAGCCAGCGCTATGGTCAGCGGGAGTTCGCGGTCACCAGAAAAAATGTGGTCAAAACGCGAAGCGTCCTCGAGTGTCCGCAAGCTCTGGTCTCAGGCTACCTCCCGCATCTCAAAGCCCTTCCATTTGCGTACTGCAAGCGCCAAATTTTGAGAATAGAAATGCATCATGCCCGCCATGCTTTGGACACTATATATGGTGGAGTACCAGGGGTGGCGTACGTATATTTGTAATTTGCTAAAATCGATAGAACGAAAAGTAGACAAAACGTAGTGAAGTAGCCAGAACATTTTTTTTCTTTTGCTGCCAGTGGCCTAAAAACGTAGGAAAATTGACGCAAAGCAGCCACACCTGACAACCCTGCTATGCAGTCACCGTGTTTCCACTTCCAGTTCATCTGTCGGGCTCTTCGTGTGACATACCACGCGGGGCAAGGAACGTATGTACAGGCCTGAAGAATTTTCGGAAGGTGTAGGCTGTGCTCGCCGAGTGTACACTTTTGTCAGTCTAACTTGCCGACATCAGTATTAAGTTGCTGCAGGCTTTTGAAGAAGTTCTTTTTTTTCTTCTTGCACAAAACGTGACGGGGTATGGAGCAAACCAGTTCATGCGCTTTCCCTTCGGGTAGCCTGTCTTTTGTGCACGTAAAATC